CACCCACTCACCCACCCACCCACCCACCCACTCACCCACCCACTCACCCACCCACCCACTCATCCACCCACCCACCCACTCACCCACCCACCCACCCACTCACCACCCACTCACCACTCACCCCTGAGAGTAGGTGAGTGCCAGTGACTCTGTGTGGTTGATGATCAGCACGGGAGCGGTGCCTCTTGTGTAGTCACTCACCCACCCACTCACTCACTCACCCACCCACCCACTCACCCACCCACCCACTCACCCACCCACTCACTCACTCACCCACCCACTCACCCACCCACCCACCCACTCACCCACTCACCCACCCACTCACCCACCCACCCACTCACCCACCCACTCACTCACTCACCCACCCACTCACCCACCCACCCACCCACTCACCCACTCACCCACCCACCCACTCACCCACCCACCCACTCACTCACCCACTCACTCACCCACCCACTCACTCACCCACTCACCCACCCACCCACTCACCACTCACCCACTCACTCACCCACTCACCCACTCACTCACTCACCCACCCACCCACTCACCTACTGACCCACCCACCCACCCACTCACCCACCCACCCACTCACCCACCCACCCACCCACTCACCCACCCACTCACCCACCCACCCACTCACCCACCCACCCACTCACCCACTCACCCACACACTCACTCACTCACCCACCCACTCACTCACTCACCCACCCACTCACCCACCCACCCACCCACTCACCCACTCACTCACTCACTCACCCACTCACCCACTCACTCACTCACTCACACACTCACCCACTCACTCACTCACTCACCCACTCACCCACCCACTCACTCACTCACCCACTCACCCACTCACCCACTCACTCACCCACCCACCCACCCACTCACCCACCCACCCACTCACCCACTCACTCACTCACTCACCCACTCACTCACTCACTCACTCACCCACTCACTCACCCACTCACCCACTCACTCACTCACCCACTCACTCACCCACCCACTCACCCACCCACCCACTCACCCACTCACCCACCCACCCACCCACTCACCCACTCACCCACTCACCCACTCACTCACCACTCACCACTCACCCCTGAGAGTAGGTGAGCGCCAGTGACTCTGTGTGGTTGATGATCAGCACGGGAGCAGTGCCTCCTGTGTAGTCACTCACCCTCTCACTCACTCACCACTCACCCACCCACCCACCCACCCACTCACTCACCCACTCACCCACCCACCCACTCACCCACCCACCCACTCACTCACCCACTCACTCACTCACCCACCCACTCACCCACCCACCCACCCACTCACCCACCCACCCACTCACCCACTCACCCACCCACCCACCCACTCACCCACCCACTCATCCACCCACCCACTCATCCACCCACTCACTCACTCACCCACTCACCCACCCACCCACCCACTCACTCACCCACCCAACCACTCACCCACCCACCCACTCACCCACTCACTCACCCACCCACCCACTCACCCACCCACTCACCCACCCACTCACCACCCACTCACCACTCACCCCTGAGAGTAGGTGAGTGCCAGTGACTCTGTGTGGTTGATGATCAGCACGGGAGCGGTGCCTCTTGTGTAGTCACTCACCCACCCACTCACTCACTCACCCACCCACCCACTCACCCACCCACCCACTCACCCACCCACTCACTCACTCACCCACCCACTCACCCACCCACCCACCCACTCACCCACTCACCCACCCACTCACCCACCCACCCACTCACCCACCCACTCACTCACTCACTCACCCACCCACTCACCCACCCACCCACCCACTCACCCACTCACCCACCCACCCACTCACCCACCCACCCACTCACTCACCCACTCACTCACCCACCCACTCACTCACCCACTCACCCACCCACTCACCCACCCACCCACTCACCACTCACCCACTCACTCACCCACTCACCCACTCACTCACTCACCCACCCACCCACTCACCTACTGACCCACCCACCCACCCACTCACCCACCCACCCACTCACCCACCCACCCACCCACTCACCCACCCACTCACCCACCCAACCACTCACCCACCCACCCACTCACCCACTCACCCACACACTCACTCACTCACCCACCCACTCACTCACTCACCCACCCACTCACCCACCCACCCACCCACTCACCCACTCACTCACTCACTCACCCACTCACCCACTCACTCACTCACTCACACACTCACCCACTCACTCACTCACTCACCCACTCACCCACCCACTCACTCACTCACCCACTCACCCACTCACTCACTCACTCACCCACTCACCCACCCACCCACCCACTCACCCACCCACCCACTCACCCACTCACTCACTCACCCACTCACTCACTCACTCACCCACTCACTCACCCACTCACCCACTCACTCACTCACTCACCCACTCACCCACTCACTCACTCACTCACCCACCCACCCACTCACCCACTCACCCACTCACTCACTCACCCACTCACCACCCACTCACCACTCACCCCTGAGAGTAGGTGAGCGCCAGTGACTCTGTGTGGTTGATGATCAGCACGGGAGCGGTGCCTCTTGTGTAGTCGCTCACCCAGTCACTCACTCACCACTCACCCACCCACTCACCCACTCACTCACCCACTCACTCACCACTCACCCACCCACTCACCCACTCACTCACTCACCCACCCACCCACCCACTCACTCACCCACTCACCCACCCACTCACTCACTCACCCACCCACCCACTCACCCACCCACTCACTCACTCACCACCCACCCACTCACTCACTCACCTACTCACCCACTCACTCACCCACCCACTCACCCACCCACCCACCCACCCACTCACTCACCCACCCACTCACTCACTCACCCACTCACCCACCCACCCACCCACTCACTCACTCACCCACTCACCACCCACTCACCACTCACCCCTGAGAGTAGGTGAGCGCCAGTGACTCTGTGTGGTTGATGATCAGCACGGGAGCGGTGCCTCTTGTGTAGTCACTCACCCACTCACTCACTCACCACTCACTCACCCACCCACTCACCCACCCACTCACTCATTCACTCACCCACTCACTCACTCACTCACCCTCTCACCCACTCACTCACTCACTCACCCACCCACTCACCCACCCACCCACCCACTCACTCACCACTCACCCACCCACTCACCCACCCACCCACTCACTCACCACTCACCCACCCACTCACCCACCCACCCACTCACTCACTCACCCACTCACTCACTCACCCACCCACCCACCCACTCACTCACCCACTCACCCACTCACTCACCCACTCACTCACTCACTGACCCACTCACCCACCCACTCACCCACCCACCCACCCACTCACTCACCCACTCACTCACCCACTCACTCACTCACTGACCCACTCACTCACCCACTCACCCACCCACCCACTCACCCACTCACTCACCCACCCACTCACTCACTCACCCACCCACCCACTCACCCACTCACTCACCCACTCACCCACCCACCCACCCACTCACTCACTCACCCACCCACCCACCCACCCACTCACCCACCCACTCACCACCCACTCACCACTCACCCCTGAGAGTAGGTGAGCGCCAGTGACTCTGTGTGGTTGATGATCAGCACGGGAGCGGTGCCTCTTGTGTAGTCACTCACCCACTCACTCACTCACCACTCACTCACCCACCCACTCACCCACCCACTCACTCACTCACTCACCCACTCACTCACTCACTCACTCACCCTCTCACCCACTCACTCACTCACTCACCCACCCACTCACCCACCCACCCACCCACTCACTCACCACTCACCCACCCACTCACCCACCCACCCACTCACTCACCACTCACTCACCCACTCACCCACCCACCCACTCACTCACTCACCCACTCACTCACTCACCCACCCACCCACCCACCCACTCACTCACCCACTCACCCACTCACTCACCCACTCACTCACTCACTGACCCACTCACCCACCCACTCACCCACCCACCCACCCACTCACTCACCCACTCACTCACCCACTCACTCACTCACTGACCCACTCACTCACCCACTCACCCACCCACCCACTCACCCACTCACTCACCCACCCACTCACTCACTCACCCACCCACCCACCCACCCACCCACCCACTCACCCACCCACCCAACCACTCACCCACCCACTCACCCACTCACTCACCCACTCACCCACCCACCCACCCACTCACTCACTCACCCACCCACCCACCCACTCACCCACCCACTCACCACCCACTCACCACTCACCCCTGAGAGTAGGTGAGCGCCAGTGACTCTGTGTGGTTGATGATCAGCACGGGAGCGGTGCCTCTTGTGTAGTCACTCACCCACTCACTCACTCACCACTCACTCACCCACCCACTCACCCACTCACTCACTCACTCACTCACCCACTCACTCACTCACTCACTCACCCTCTCACCCACTCACTCACTCACTCACCCACCCACTCACCCACCCACTCACCCACTCACTCACCACTCACCCACCCACTCACCCACCCACCCACTCACTCACCACTCACCCACCCACTCACCCACCCACCCACTCACTCACTCACCCACTCACTCACTCACCCACCCACCCACCCACCCACTCACTCACCCACTCACCCACTCACTCACCCACTCACTCACTCACTGACCCACTCACCCACCCACTCACCCACCCACCCACCCACTCACTCACCCACTCACTCACCCACTCACTCACTCACTGACCCACTCACTCACCCACTCACCCACCCACCCCCTCACCCACTCACTCACCCACCCACTCACTCACTCACCCACCCACCCACCCACCCACCCACCCACTCACCCACCCACCCAACCACTCACTCACTCACCCACCCACCCACCCACCCACCCACCCACTCACTCACTCACCCACTCACCCACCCACCCACCCACTCACTCACTCACCCACTCACCACCCACTCACCACTCACCCCTGAGAGTAGGTGAGCGCCAGTGACTCTGTGTGGTTGATGATCAGCACGGGAGCGGTGCCTCTTGTGTAGTCGCTCACCCACTCACTCACTCACCCACTCACTCACTCACCCACCCACTCACTCACTCACCCACCCACTCACCCACTCACTCACCCACCCACTCACTCACCCGCTCACTCACCCACTCACCCACCCACCCACCCACTCACTCACCCACTCACTCACCCACTCACCCACCCACCCACTCACCACCCACTCACCACTCACCCCTGAGAGTAGGTGAGCGCCAGTGACTCTGTGTGGTTGATGATCAGCACGGGAGCGGTGCCTCTTGTGTAGTCACTCACCCTCACCAGCGCACAGCTCTCCACAACGCTCACCTCCACGCACAGCGCAAAGGGCTGCACCAGCAGTAGCATAAGCAGCAGCATCATCAGCAGTAGCATCATCATCAGTGGCATCATCATCATCAGCAGCAGCATCATCAGTAGCAGCATCATCATCATTACCATCAGGAGCATCATCAGTAGCATCATCATCAGCAGTAGCATCATTACCATCAACATCACCAGCATCATCAGTAGCATCATCATCAGGAGCATCATGATCAGTAGTAGCAGCATCATCATTATCATCATTATCATTATCAGCATCATCATCAACATTAACATCATCATCATCAGTAGCATCATCAGTAGCATCATCATCATTATCATCATCATCATTTGCATCCTCATCAACACCATCATCATCATCAATAGCATCATCATCAGCATCAGTATCATCATCATCAGTAGCATCATCATCAACATCATCATCATCATCAGTAGCATCATCAGCATCAACATCATCATCAGTAGCATCAGCATCAACACCATCATCATCAGCATCATCATAATCAGTAGCATCATCATCAGTAGCATCATCATCAGTAGCATCATCAGCATCAACACCATCATCATCAGTAGCATCAGCATCAACACCATCATCATCAGTAGCATCAGCATCAACACCAACATCATCAGCATCATCATAATCAGTAGCATCATCATCAGTAGCATCAGCATAATCAGTAGCATCACCATCATCAGTAGCATCATCAGCATCAACACCATCATCATCAGTAGCATCAGCATCAACACCATCATCAGCACCATCATCATCATCAGCATCATCATCAGCATCACCACCCCACTCCCCAGGCTGTGCACCTCATCCTGCAGCTGCAGTGCGGTGTGAGGTTGAGGTAGCGTGTAGAGGAAGTCTGCCGACTCCAACTCAGAGCCGGCCACTCGCAAGCACATTCTCCCGCTGGTACACTCTGGCCAAAGCGGTGCACGCTGTACGTCACACACACACACACACAGTCACACACACACACACAGTCACACACAGTCACACACAGTCACACACACACAGACACACACACACAGTCACACACACACAGTCACACACACACAGTCACACACACACAGACACACAGTCACACACACAGTCACACACACAGACACACACACACAGTCACACACACAGACACACACACACAGACACACACACAGACACACACACAGACACACACACACAGAGACACACACACAGACACACACAGTCACACACACACAGTCACACACACAGACACACACACACAGTCACACACACAGACACACACACACAGACACACACACAGAGACACACACACAGACACACACACAGACACAGTCACACACACACACAGACACACACACAGTCACACACACACACAGACACACACACAGTCACACACAGTCACACACACAGTCACACACACACACACACAGACAGACACAGTCACACACACACACACAGTCACACACACAGTCACACACACACAGTCACAGTCACACACAGTCACACAAAGATAAAAAAGATCCCCCATATAGCCTGTAACAGACAGTAGGGGCAAGTGCTGTTAGCGAGCACCTATGAAGGCCGGAACGGTACACGAGGGGGTGGGTGGCCAGCACCATGCCCGACCGCCTTTGTCTCCCTAGTGGCAATGTTTACACACCGCACCAGGTACTCATTTGAGGCTGAGTCGACCTAGGGGAGGCCCGGGACCGGTTCAGATAATCGTCACCGGTGTTGGCCGTGAGCGGGAATCGAACCACGGGTCGCCAGGTTCATAGCGCAGCGTAGCGCTAACCACTACACTACCGCTCCCCACACGCACACAGACAGACACACACACACACACAGTCACACACACAGTCACACACACACACACAGTCACACACACAGTCACACACAGTCACACACACAGTCACACACACAGTCACACAGTCACACACACACACAGTCACACACACACACAGACACACACACACAGACAGACACAGTCACACACACACACAGTCACACACACACACAGTCACACACACAGTCACACACAGTCACACACACAGCCACACACAGTCACACACACAGTCACACACACACACACAGACACACACAGTCACACAGTCACACACAGACACACACACAGTCACACAGTCACACACAGACACACAGTCACACAGTCACTGACCCACCCACCAACCCCCCCACCCACCCACCCCCCCACCCACCCACCCACCCACCCCCCCACCCACACCCCCCACCCCCCCACCCACCCACCCACCACCCACCCACCTCCCCAGGAGAGAGGAACGTCCATCTGTGGCTTCCAAGCTCCCTCAGTTCGATGTTCAGCGCTGAGGCATTGTGTGCAATGTGGAAGGCGCTCAGAGCCAACACCTTGGTCAGCGAGAAGCTAGTGAGGGTGATGTTCACCCCCACCTGCATCAGCAACATCAACATCAACAACACCATCAACATCAACAACAACAACACCATCAACAACACCATCAACATCATCAACATCACCATCAACACCAACATCAACACCATCAACATCAACATCAACACCTTGGTCAGCGAGAAGCTAGTGAGGGTGATGTTCACCCCCACCTGCATCACCACCGTCAACACCAACAACACCATCAACAACACCATCAACATCACCATCAACACCACCATCAACAACATCAACATCACCATCATCAACATCATCAACAACAACATCATCATCATCAACATCAACATCATCAACATCATCAACAACACCATCAACATCAACACCATCAACATCAACACCATCAACAACACCATCATCACCATCAACATCACCACCATCAACAACACCATCAACATCAACACCTTGGTCAGTGAGAAGCTAGTGAGGGTGATGTTCACCCCCACCTGCATCACCACCATCAACATCAACAACAACATCAACACCATCAACATCAACACCAACATCAACAACACCACCACCATCAACAACAACAACACCATCAACATCAACACCATCAACATCAACACCAACATCAACAACACCACCATCATCATCAACAACACCACCATCATCACCGTCAACACCAACAACACCATCAACAACACCATCAACAACACCATCAACAACACCATCAACATCACCACCAACATCACCACCAACAACACCATCAACAACACCATCAACAACAAGCGCTGAGGCATTGTGTGCAATGTGGAAGGCACTCAGAGCCAACACCTTGGTCAGCGAGAAGCTAGTGAGGGTGATGTTCACCCCCACCTGCATCACCACCATCAACAACAACAACATCAACATCACCATCATCACCATCAACAACACCACTAACAACATCAACATCAACAACATCAACACCATCAACACCATCAACATCATCAACAACACCATCAACACCATCAACATCATCATCAACATCAACACCATCAACACCATCAACATCATCAACAACACCATCAACACCATCAACATCATCAACAACATCATCACCATCAACACCATCACCATCATCACCATCATCATCAACATCACCATCAACATCATCAACATCACCACCATCAACAACACCATCAACAACACCATCACCATCAACATCAACACCAACAACACCATCAACATCATCACCACCATCAACATCAACACCACCATCAACATCAACACCTTGGTCAGCGAGAAGCTAGTGAGGGTGATGTTCACCCCCACCTGCATCACCACCGTCAACACCATCAACACCATCAACATCAACACCATCAACAACACCATCAACATCAACACCAACATCAACAACACCATCAACATCAACACCAACATCAACAACACCACCATCATCATCAACAACACCACCATCATCACCATCAACACCATCAACAACATCATCAACAACATCAACACCACCATCAACAACACCATCAACATCAACAACATCATCAACAACACCATCATCATCAACATCAACATCAACACCATCAACATCAACATCAACAACAACACCATCAACATCAACACCAACATCAACAACACCATCAACATCAACACCATCAACAACACCATCAACATCAACACCAACATCAACAACACCATCAACATCAACACCAACATCAACAACACCACCATCATCATCAACAACACCACCATCATCACCATCAACACCATCAACAACATCATCAACAACATCAACACCACCATCAACAACACCATCAACATCAACAACATCATCAACAACACCATCATCATCAACATCAACATCAACACCATCAACATCAACATCAACAACATCAACACCATCAACATCAACACCATCAACATCACCATCACCAACCATCAACATCATCAACAACACCACCATCAACATCAACATCATCAACATCACCACCATCAACATCATCAACATCACCACCATCAACAACACCATCAACAACACCATCACCATCAACATCAACACCATCAACATCAACAACACCGTCATCACCATCAACATCAACACCACCATCAACATCAACACCTTGGTCAGCGAGAAGCTAGTGAGGGTGATGTTCACCCCCACCTGCAGCGGCAACATCAACACCAACAACACCATCAACATCAACAACATCAACATCAACAACATCAACAACACCATCAACACCATCAACACCATCAACACCATCAACACCACCACCATCACCACCATCATCACCATCAACACCGTCATCTCCATCATCAACATCATCAACAACACCACCATCACCATCAACAACATCAACATCAACACCATCAACATCAACACCATCAACACCATCAACAACATCAACACCATCAACATCAACACCATCAACATCAACACCACCATCACCATCACCATCAACATCACCACCGTCAACACCATCAACATCACCATCAACAACATCAACATCATCACCATCAACACCACCATCATCATCATCAACATCACTACCATCAACACCATCAACACCACCATCAACATCAACACCTTGGTCAGCGACAAGCTAGTGAGGGTGATGTTCACCCCCACCTGCATCACCACCGTCAACACCAACAACACCATCAACAACACCATCAACACCATCAACACCATCAACAACACCATCAACATCAACACCACCATCACCATCATCAACATCAACATCAACACCATCAACATCAACACCATCAACATCAACACCATCAACATCAACACCATCAACACCATCAACATCATCAACATCAACACCATCAACATCAACACCATCAACACCATCAACACCATCAACATCAACATCATCAACATCAACACCATCAACACCATCAACATCGCCACCATCAACATCGCCACCATCAACATCGCCACCATCAACATCACCACCACCATCAACATCAACAGCAGCAGTTGCAGAGTCTGTCTCTCCCCGTGTCTCTCCCCGTGTCTCCCACCCCCCCGCGTCTCCCAGTGTCTCCCCGTGTCTCCCAAACCCGCGTGTCTCCCCCGTGTCTCCCCCCGTGTCTCCCCCCGTGTCTCCCCGTGTCTCTCCGCGTCTCCCCGTGTCTCCCACCCACCCCCCCCCGTGTCTCCCCGTGTCTCTCCCCGTGTCTCCCACCCCCCCGCGTCTCCCCGTGTCTCCCCGTGTCTCCCAAACCCGCGTGTCTCCCCCGTGTCTCCCCCCGTGTCTCCCCCCGTGTCTCCCCGTGTCTCTCCGCGTCTCCCCGTGTCTCCCACCCACCCCCCCCCCCGTGTCTCCCCGTGTCTCTCCCCGTGTCTCCCACCCCCCCGCGTCTCCCCGCGTCTCCCCGTGTCTCTCCCCCGTGTCTCCCACCCCCCCGTGTCTCCCACCCCCCCGTGTCTCCCCGTGTCTCCCCGTGTCTCCCCGTGTCTCTCTCCCCGTGTCTCTCTCCCCGTGTCTCTCTCCCCGTGTCTCTCTCCCCATGTCTCTCTCCCCGTGTCTCTCTCCCCGCGTCTCTCTCCCCGTGTCTCTCACCCCGTGTCTCTCTCCCCGTGTCTCCCCCGTGTCTCCCTGTGTCTCCCCGCGTCTCCCACCCCCCCGTGTCTCTCTCCCCGTGTCTCTCTCCCCGCGTCTCCCCGCGTGTCTCCACCCCCGCGTGTCTCTCACGAGCAGCTCAGTAGACGCTTGCTTGTGAGGTTTACAGCGAAGGCAACCAGAGCTGCCAGCGGTCTCCATGGAGAACTCAGCGGAGGGCAGGCTGTTACCTACACACAGCCGCACCTACAGCATACACACAGCATACACACAGTGTATACACAGGGCAGGCTGTTACCTACACACAGCCGCACCTACAGAATACACACAGCATACACACAGTGTATACACAGGGCAGGCTGTTACCTACACACAGCCGTACCTACAGCATACACACAGCATACACACAGTGTACACACAGGGCAGGCTGTTACCTACACACAGCCGTACCTACAGCGTACACACAGCATACACACAGGGTACACACAGGGCAGGCTGTTACCTACACACAGCCGTACCTACAGCGTACACACAGCATACACACAGCATACATAGTGTACACACAGCGTACACACAGGGCAGGCTGTTACCTACACACAGCCGCACCTACAGCATACACACAGGGCAGGCTGTTACCTACACACAGCCGCACCTACAGCATACACACAGGGCAGGCTGTTACCTACACACAGCCGCACCTACAGCATACATACAGGGCAGGCTGTTACCTACACACAGCCGCACCTACAGCATACACACAGGGCAGGCTGTTACCTACACACAGCCGCACCTACAGCATACACACAGCATACACACAGCATATACACAGCGTACACACAGTGTACTCACAGGGCAGGCTGTTACCTACACACAGCCGTACCTACAGCATACACACAGCATACACACAGTGTATACACAGCATACACACAGTGTACACACAGCATACACACAGGGCAGGCTGTTACCTACACACAGCCGCACCTACAGCGTACACACAGCATACACAGTGTATACACAGCGTACACACAGTGTACACACAGTGTACACACAGCATACACACAGGGCAGGCTGTTACCTACACACAGCCGCACCTACAGCATACACACAGGGCAGGCTGTTACCTACACACAGCCGCACCTACAGCATACACACAGGGCAGGCTGTTACCTACACACAGCCGCACCTACAGCATACACACAGGGCAGGCTGTTACCTACACACAACCGTACCTACATTATACACACAGTGTACACACAGCATACACACAGAGCAGGCTGTTACCTACACACAGCTGCACCTACAGCATACACACAGCATACACACAGCATACACACAGGGCAGGCTGTTACCTACACACAGCCGCACCTACAGCATACACACAGGGCAGGCTGTTACCTACACACAGCCGTACCTACAGCGTACACACAGTGTACACACAGTGTACACACAGGGCAGGCTGTTACCTACACACAGCCGCACCTACAGCATACACACAGGGCAGGCTGTTACCTACACACAGCCGCACCTACAGC